TACCAATAATTCAGAAACACCGAAAATTTGTTAACAGAAAAATGCGATAGTCGATGCATTTTTTTTATTTTCAAAAATGATGGTTTTTTTGGTTTACGTTTCCTTTTTGTTTTACAACTTTTACTTTTGCATGTGAAGAGCAGAAAATAAAGATTGACGTAAAAAATGGTGATACCATGAATTACCGCACCAGGTGACACTAATTAGAGATATCTTTTTCTTATAAATTCGACATTAGATATTTATACTTCAATTTTTTAATATTTCCGATTGTGCTCGCGTTCATGATATAATAAAAAGTTTATAAAAATCAACGCGAGGGTCATTTAAAAAGCCTTCGTGTGTCTGACCTGCAGGTCATAGGTTCGCTACCACTGTATTATAGAGATGGGCTGGGAGGAAGAGGGAAGTTGGTTAAGTGAAGGATGTATTGGATGGAAGTGGGGCTGGGAGGGATTAATGAAGGTCAGAGTAGTAATGATAAAGACTAGGAAAAATGGTGTGAATGAAAGTATGAATGGAGAAACGAATGTGTGAAGAATAGAGCAGAAGCAGAAGCCAGGGTATGAAAAGGTGAAAGTGGAGGGATATGAGAGAGAGAGAGAGAGAGAGAGAGAGAGAGTTGAAGTATGAGAGGGCATAGGAACAGAAAGAGGAATAGTAAATATTTCAATTTCTGTTCATGTTACGACCTCTACTCACTTTCGTATTTTTCTATAATTTTGAGATTAATAACGACTAGTTTATGTATTATAATTTCTTTTAAACCCTGGAATCTTCAATTCTTAAAATGATAGAAAAATAAGCCAGTAAGTAGAAATTAGGATGTGAACAGATATTGGGATATTCACTATGTATCATTCATAAAAAAATGGAATGTGCAAAAATTATGAATGCCGAGTGTAACGTACAAAACTATCCAGAATATCAAAAGCTGAATGCATATTTCAATGTTTTAATGATAAAGTAAATATTTATTAAACACGCATCTTTTAAACTTATACTATAAATGTTTTATTTTACATAAACATCCGCAGTCTAGTTAAAGAGAGAGGT